ATCAGGATAATTATTATGGAAACCAATACTACTCCGAATCCATTTGCCAGCAAAATAAGGAAAATGATTACAACTTCCCCACCAATGTAGAAGTCAGTGGGTATGTCGATAATACATTTGTGTATGACTATGGATACGATTATAATGGCTACAATATGGTTAACACTTATGAACAATTTGATAATTTTGTTGCTACAGCTGTGGGCTTAGCGAATCTTTAATACATTTTAAGTTTGTATTATTGTAATCTATATGTAAATAAATATTGTTTTGTACAATCATTATCTTTAATTTATTAAAATTATTACATATGTCAAATATCTAGTAAATGAAGATAAATAAATTTGGAATAAATGTAATAGTTTAAATACCAATGTTTTTTTTTAATGCTCGGACCCGTCGACTAGTATTTTCAGTAGCGATTTTTTATATACAATAACAATATGCACAGTGTCCTAATTTAGAAATAGGCCATCAATGGTTGATATTGTTAAATGTCAAAACTGTCATTTTGATGGGTACTTTTATAGGGTTTTTAAAGTTTTACCTAACTGCCAAATATCAAATTTTTATTCTGTACCAATTGCAAGATTATAAAAAGTAACAAATTTATGAAAAACAAGTATTTAAATCTATTGTATATAATTATTTAAATCAAGCAAATGCTCATAATGTTGTCCATTGACTATTTGACAATATCCTAAATATGATCGAAATTCGTTTTGAATATATTTAATAAAATTAATCTACACTCATTTCTTATTTGTACTGTTAGCTCCCAAATATTTGCTAGTTTGGTCTTATAAACTTTGCTTTTCAAGTAACCCCATAAAAAAAGTTCAAGGGATTGAGATCTGAAGATCTCGGTGGCCATTCAATAGGTCATCTTCTACCTATTCACTTGCCTGAAAATACAGCATCGAAATATTCACGAACAGGTCTTGCGAAATGGGGAGGCGCACCATCTTATTGAAACCAAGTGTCTCTATTAGGCAATCCAACGACCTGTCAAATAAATTCAATATGGCCCTTGGTTGGCATACAAACTGAACGTCAGTATTATTTACTCATGTAAATCGAACATTTTTTTGAAGTGCTTTAAGTATAATTTCGATTAATTTTTAATAAATAGTGTAAAATTTAGTTTAATTTTGAAAAACATATTAATACTTTATCAAGGAGAAGAAGGGAGATGTGGATAGCAGCTATAAAGAGAGACGATCTAACTGAATCGATTATAAAAAATCAGAGGATATACAGTAGACATTATAACATGAAAATTGTACCTAAGTTCGTTTTATGATTTTGTTATTTCACCCTGTATATTCTGGACACCTAATAATTCAATAATACCAACAAACTTGGTCTATGTGAGGATTATTAGAAATGGGTGCCTACTGTATGTCAACCCGTATAATACTTTAGTTATAGTGTGTTGCCTACTTAAATAACTAAAATTTTGAATACGAGCAAAGATCGTTTTTATTTTTGTTTTAACTCGGTTAACGAAAAGGTTCCATCTTTCCTTTTGGTTGAAGTGTGAACATCATACATTTTAATGGCCACATGTTTGGTAAGTTTATTTTAAATAGTTAGTATTCTCTTTCTATTCTCTTTCCATTTAGGGACCATTTAGTTAGGCACTGATATTTTCGAGTCGTGACTTGTGGAGCCATATTTATTTTTTATCTCATTTTTGGAGACGAATTGTAAATCGTCATTGCACGAGTCCAAAAACAAATATTGATAGTAGAAGGCATTTTACAACAGCACCCTAGGCTGTAGTGGTGAAGTATGTTGTAAGGTCGACCTTTTGGAATACAGTATATGCCAGGGCCAGGAAGAACTCTCTCGGCCCCATGGGATTACTTTAAGTATACAACAGATAAGAGCCTAGCTGGTGGTTGTCACTATAAAAAGTTTTTTTTTTCAACCTCCTCACCTTTTATGAATAACAGGGCGAATCAAGATTCTACCCGAAGGGATTCATCAGCGATTCACTTCTATTTTACCAAGCATTTAAATTCGAATTGCAGGTAACAATTTTATAGTTGTATACATTTTTTTTTTGATAGGAAATATAGTAAGATTTCCATATCTTTTTTTGGGTTTTCCAAAGTTTGATTACTGTTTATAATTATTTGATTACACTTATATGACTCTGAAATAATCCACAAATGCAAGGTGGTAGGATACATACTGTATTATACGTATTTTAGTTATACTAAAATAAGATTTATCGTAGGATAATTTTTGATTGGAATTTTTGTACATATAGCATAGTGGGGATTTATTTATAAAACCAGGTTTGATCCTAAACATATTTCTTTTGAATTCAATTAGAATCCAATGTATGTAGAATTACAGCTGATGTCTGATATTTGTTAAATTTAGGTAACTAAATTACACTTAGTTTATTTTAAAGAACTCAACCAGCTATGTTTTAATATTCTATGAAATACTGATGTCTGAATTACTGTAAAATCACTGTCTATATATACAGAGTGGCCCAAAAGTCTGGAAACGGCCAATTATCTCGTAAATTGCTAATCCTAATTGTACAAAATTTGGGGTACACCTATTTTGGGATACGGTGATTTCAGACGTAATATTTGCAATTTTGCCAGATTTGCCGTTTCTCTTAAATTATTAGTCACTTTTTTTTTCAAATTTATCACCCTTTATATTCAGTCATTATTAAAATTTCCTATTCAATACGAGTTTATCCATATGTAACACTTATGATTTTATGTAGTCTGGAAGGTCTTAAATAAATAAAGTAAGTCTGGCAACGCCTAATTGTCTCAAGGATTTTTTTAATACAAACAATTTTCAACTACATTAAAACGTAAAAATTGAAAGATTATAACATTTTTAACATAATGGTTACTTTATGAAGTGTTCAAAATGTGCTCCGTTTGTGAGTTGACAGTACCCTAATCGATGGTAGAATGCATCTACCACATTTCTCCATGATTGTTTTATTTATTTAAGACCTTCCAGACTACATAAAATTATAAGTGTTACATATGGTTGAACTCGTATTGAATAGGAGATTATAATGTGAAAAAAAATACCTGAGTACAAGTAACATGAGTGACAAAAACATCAAAGCAAGATTTACGTCGTTCCAGATTGTAAAACAGGATAAAAATCAAATGTTAAACTAAAGAAAACACAAGAAGAAATAAATTCAATGTCTTCTTATGTAAGTAAAATAATGTATTCATGTTTAAATATAATATTTATTGTAAACTAGTCACAATATGTATCATACAAAGTGTACTTTATTTTTTTACAAGTTTCTTTAATGCAATTTTACAGTCATAGATGCTGACTTACAAACAACAATAAATATGCATTAAATTTAACTTATTTATTTTTTATAGAGTTTTAATGTTAGATAAAGAGTTGCTACTGTTATTTTTTTTGGGCCCCAATTGTGTCATTGTAAATGTTTTTTATAGGATACGAAACGTTTAGCAGCATATATATCGTTCCTAGTGCCGATAATGCACTTTCTAGAGATGATGCTGTTCTATACTTTTTAGAAGATATCAAATATTATGAGACTATTCTTACTGATGGTACTGTTAACAAAATAAAAAGGGGAAAGCTAAAATTAAAGGATAAGGTAATACCATGTACATTTCCAAATCTCCCTTTATACTTGTATTACAACATTGGCTTGCTGTATTTTTATACAATCACTTCCCCTTCCAAAAATGTCACCGCACGCCACTGTGCTTCACGTATCCTTAACGAATCTGTAAATAATTACTCGACAATAGAAAAAGAACTATTGGCTCTTATATATGTTACTAAAACATTCAGACCCTATATCTATGGCCGAAAAATTAAGTTGCTGACTGATCATAATAAAAATAATAATAATAATAATATTAATAATAATAATAATAATAATAATAATAATACTCTCCTTAATCAACCCCCATACTAGTGAATTTTAACCCTAAAAGCTGAGCTTGTGCGAGAAAAGTACGGCTATTATTATTTGCTGTGGCGCTCCGGAGCGACTTAAAGATGATTGATGATGCCATTTGACTTACAGGTGAGGAAAACCCGGAAAACCTCACCCACCATCATCGAGACGGTAATAAATGGAGATTTTATAATCTGCATGTCATATCAATAGTAATTGAATTTCTAATAATACGGCACACATCAAATCATATACCAACCATGCAATTTCATTAAAAATCCGTCTGTCTCTGACCACAAACTTGCCTATAAATGAATATAAGCGCGTGAGACCGCTACACCACCGACCCCTTCAATTGCTAATGTCTTTAAAGGAACCCAATTCCCGTTTTGTCCGTTGGAGGCTAAAACTTGAAGAATTTGACTACGAAGTCATATACAAAAAAGGAAAAGCCAATAGAAACGCCGATGGCCTCAGTCGCATAGAAATCTATCCTGTATTGATACAGATTTCCCTTTTCTAAATTACTTGCAAAACAAAACTATAATCATCCCACCATTTACATATCTTATCCTAAGCAACGATCAATATCAAGATGAAGAGTGCACAGATCTTCAATTAACATTCCTTTTCCAACAAAACCAGCTTTTCCACAACGAGAAGAAGGATTGCATCATATCCCTCCTGTCATTGATAAACAATCAGAGTAGCTGTATCCAGGTTCCGGTCTAAACCACTCACCAAATTATTGAAGAAATCAACGATAGTCATTATATCGGAATTTTTCCAGAACCACAGAAAGTCCACCTAAATTGTGCGGAAAACGATCTTATGATGTTACATGGAACATATATGTTGGTCATCCCACCAAAGTGCCAAATTAAGACTTCAACTTTTTACTTTTAAGTTTAAAAAGTGGTTGAGATTAAAATATTTTTCATAAATCTTAAATATACTTATTAATTTAATATTTTAAATTAAATTAAAATTTGCTCCACTTTCTCCTATTTGCAACTATAACAAAAAGTCTATCTTTTTTCGAGTACATTAGTAAAATATTTTAGACACCAAACGAATATTTATTTGTTGTAAGTGGTATATAGGTAGTGGTTTTATTTTATATTTTACAGGTAAGTAAAACTTTAGATTATATTAGGAATAAATAATTATTATAAAAATACAATTAGTTTTTCATTCTGTTGCTACGCCATAATTTTTTTAAGATTTATTAATTAGTTTGATGATTCTCTCGTACAAAATGTTTCTAGTGTGATTGGATTTTCATACATATTATAAAATCTAACATTTTCACGTTGTAAAATTTAAATCAGTTATATGCGTGGCTAACTATAAAAATTCTTGTATCCATATTTTGAGAATAGACGAAGCTATAACAACGCATTTTATTTAATCCGTTTTACTTAGAAGTAATCAATAATGGTTTTAATTTTCTAAGAAAAGCTTCATTTATTCGTTTAAATAACAATTTAGGGTTACGTTCGACTTTAGGGACACACTGTTTGACCAGTTTTACTTAATTTTTTTGATTTAAATGATATTAAGTTTGATTTTAACTCACCTTAGGTTTGGAAATAGGAAAAAAAGTATAAATCAATTATGTATTTTAATTAAATACTTTTTAAAAATAAAACGAGTCTTTTATTAAATTTAACCTAAAACTTGAAAATTTTAATATTTGACATTTCTTTTCTGGATAATGAGCGGGGTTGCCAAGATTAATTTTTTATTACAACTATTATTAAAACTAAGTAGTCTGTGTATTAACAGTATGACCAGGTAGCAGAGAATTTAAAGTGAAATTTTATGTTGAATGAGTCAAATAAAATGATTTTGTAACATTGTATTTTTAGAAATTACTCAAAAATGTCATGTGAAATGTCAGTAAGTTATAAAAACTTATAAAGGATTCCTGTTTAATTTTATAAACAATTGTATGAGCTGATATGAACAGATATTATTCTTTGATCTGTGTTAGGGGTCGGGGAGCGATGTCTGATACAGATTCTAGTATTTTATCACAAAATTCTATTATTTTTATTTAAATAAACAAATCATAAAAGTATAATAATTTACGAGTATACAAATTAATTATATCTTTCTACATATTTAAATACTTGGCAACCCTGTACACCTAAGTCAAAATATTTGATGAAAAATGTGCAATTTTTGAGATTTTAATATTAAATTTCTCGCTTAATCGTGGATAATCTCCAAAAATTTTTTAATTGTCATGATATATAACTTCTTTACTTTCTAATAGTACAATTTTTTTTTTTTAAATTCGTGTGTCTTTTAAGTCGAATGTAACCCAATTTAGAAGAACATTGGTACACTAAAAGAAAAATAATAGAAAATTACTCCAAAATAGTTCGATTCAGGACGTAAATCTATATTTTGCAAATATTTGAATTCAGTACTAAATCATCTGAATAATCTTCAAATAAATAATTTTAAAAAAATATTGCAGTTTACTGAGTTTTTTAGGAATGTTTTTCTTTCAGCGGTAAACTAAAACCTTTTGGATGGCGTCCATTGGGATTCCTTTGTAGCTGTGCTTTTTTTGTTTTTTTTTGCAAGCGATAATTATTTACCACATTGTCCGATTTCTATAACCATCTCCCTAAACCAATTATAATCGACTATTTCTCTAGAGAAATAGTCAAATTTGGTCTAGTGAAATAGTCGTCCCAAATATAACACGACATTGATTAATATTCTGCTATTTTCATTATTGCTGAATTTTTCAAACATTTTACAATTTGATTCTACATAATTTTGGCATTAATAATCAATTGATTTAAGCCCTCGAGCTAAAGCTCTCGAGCTCTAATCAGATTATTAATGCCAAAAATTATGTCTCTTCAAATTAATATTTAAATATTCTTGACTATTATCAAGGTCTTGGTACATTACACTTGATTATTTTCTTATTAGGAAGAGGGTATTTAAGGAGTGGTACCATATACATTTGGTCAAGATTTGATTATGGGATCTTTGAGAAAATCAACAAACTCAATGTGTAATGACATCTGTACGATTTTCAAAATTACTCTTATGTAGTAAATTACTGAATACTCGTTTTGCTTCTTAATCATAGAACTTAATTAATCTCGGATCATTTAACTGCGTACAATTGTTCGAAAAAAATCGCACACTTATGCGGTTCCAAAAACCGAAGGCCACAAAATCTTTAATATATGCCTGTCTGAGATTCTTTTTCACCCAGTATTATTTTTTAATAATTAGTTACCTATATTTTTTAAACTTACCAAACGAATAACATACCAACCAGAAGAAATACCCAGGTTCGGATTAATAAAAAACTAATAAAATATTAATAAAAAATTAATAAAAATTGATAGAAAATTAATAATAAATTAATAAAAATTAAATCAAAAATTGATAAAAAATTAATATAAAATTTATAAAAAATTGATAAAAAAATGAATAAAAAATTATTAAAAAAAAATGAATAAAAAATTGATAAAAAATTAATTAAAAATTAATAAAAAATTAAATTAATAAAAAATTAAATTAATAAAAAATTAATAAAAAAATTAATAAAAAATTAATAAAAAATTAATAAAAAATTAATAAAAAATTAATAAAAAATTGATAAAAAAATTATTAAAAAATTAATAGAAATTAAATGGAAAGTTGATAAAAAATTAATAATAATTAATAATAAATTGATAAAAAATTAATTAAAAATTAATAAAAAATAATAAAAATTTGATTAAAAATTAATAAGAAATTATTAAAAAAATTGATAAAAAACTAATAAAAAATTGTTACTAAATTATTAAAAAATTATTAAAAATTAATAAAAAATCAATAAAAAATTAATAAAAAATTAATAAAAAATTAATAAAAAATTAATAAAAAATTAATAAAAAATTAATAAAAAATTATTAAAAAATTAATAAAAAATTAATAAAAAATTAATAAAAAATTAATAAAAAATTAATAAAAAATTAATAAAAAATTAATAAAAAATTAATAAAAAATTAATAAAAAATTAATAAAAAATTAATAAAAAATTAATAAAAAATTAATAAAAAATTAATAAAAAATTAATAAAAAATTAATAAAAAATTAATAAAAAATTAATAAAAAATTAATAAAAAATTAATAAAAAATTAATAAAAAATTAATAAAAAATTAATAAAAAATTAATAAAAAATTAATAAAAAATTAATAAAAAATTAATAAAAAATTAATAAAAAATTAATAAAAAATTAATAAAAAATTAATAAAAAATTAATAAAAAATTAATAAAAAATTAATAAAAAATTAATAAAAAATTAATAAAAAATTAATAAAAAATTAATAAAAAATTAATAAAAAATTAATAAAAAATTAATAAAAAATTAATAAAAAATTAATAAAAAATTAATAAAAAATTAATAAAAAATTAATAAAAAATTAATAAAAAATTAATAAAAAATTAATAAAAAATTAATAAAAAATTAATAAAAAATTAATAAAAAATTAATAAAAAATTAATAAAAAATTAATAAAAAATTAATAAAAAATTAATAAAAAATTAATAAAAAATTAATAAAAAATTAATAAAAAATTAATAAAATTTAATAAAAAGTTAATAAAAAATTAATGAAAATATAATAAAAAATTAATAAAGATGATTGATGATGCCATTTGACTTACAGGTGAGGAAAACCCAGAAAACCTTACCCACCATCATCGAGACGGTAATGAATGGAGATTTTATAATCTGCATGTCATATCAATAGTAATTGAATTTCTAATAATACGGCACACATAAAATCCTATACCCAACCATGCAATTTCATTAAAAATCCGTCTGTCTCTGACCACAAACTTGCCCCTAAATGAATAAAAGCGCGTGAGACCGCTAAACCACCGACCCCCTTCAATTGCTAATGTCTTTAAAGAAACCCAATTACCGTTTAGTCCGTTGGAGGCTAAAACTTGATGAATTTGACTACGAAGTCATATACATATCATATAATAAAAAATTAATAAAAAATTAATAAAAAATTAATAAAAAATTAATAAAAAATTAATAAAAAATTAATAAAAAATTAATAAAAAATTAATAAAAAATTTATAAAAAATTTATAAAAAATTAATAAAAAATTAATAAAAAATTAATAAAAAATTAATAAAAAATTAATAAAAATTAATAAAAAATTAATAAAAAAATTAATAAAAAATTAATGAAAAAATAATAAAAAATTAATAAAAATTGATAAAAAATTAATAAAAATGAATAAAAAATTATTAAAAAATTAATAAAAAATTAATAAAAAATTAATAAAAAATTAATAAAAATTTAATAAAAAATTAATAAAAAATTAATAAAAAATTAATAAAAAATTAATAAAAAATTAATAAAAAATTAATAAAAAATTAATAAAAAATTAATAAAAAATTAATAAAAAATTAATAAAAAATTAATAAAAAATTAATAAAAAATTAATAAAAAATTAATAAAAAATTAATAAAAAATTAATAAAAAATTAATAAAAAATTAATAAAAAATTAATAAAAAATTAATAAAAAATTAATAAAAAATTAATAAAAAAATTAATAAAAAATTAATAAAATTTAATAAAAAGTTAATAAAAAATTAATGAAAATATAATAAAAAATTAATAAAAATTGATAAAAAATTAATAGAAAATTAGTCAAAAATAAATTAAAAATTATTAAAAAAATAATAAAAAATTATAAAAAATTTATAGAAAATTAATAAAAATTATTAAAAAATTAATAAAAATTAATAAAAATTAATAAAAATTAATAAAAATTAATAAAAATGATTAAAAATTAATAAAAAATAATAAAAATCTAATGGAAAATTATTTAAAAAATTAATAAAAACATGATAAAAAATTGATAAAAAATTGATTAAAAATTAATAAAAAATTATTAAAAAATTGATAAAAAACTAATAAAAAATTGTTAATAAATTATTAAAAAATTAATAAAAATTAATAAAAATTAATAAAAAATTAATAAAAAATTAATAAAAAATTAATAAAAAATTAATAAAAAATTAATAAAAAATTAATAAAAAATTAATAAAAAATTAATAAAAAAATTAATAAAAAAATTAATAAAA